TTTATTGACTTCTTATTCTCTATCAAGTAGTGCAGAGATTGTGTGATGGTTTCTAGTCACTTAAAAATTTCCTTAATAAAAATCCTGTATGAATTGCTAGAAAAATTAATACATTTTTCCTGTCTTATTATGAAATATATTAATTATTTAGAGAATATGTTGATTGTTTGCGAAAATTGTTAATCAAAGATGCTAGTTACATTATTTAAGCCAAAATGAGGTAAAAAGTTGTTTATTCGTAAAAGACCAACAACTGGCGTTTTGCCCCTAGTTACAGGGGTTTTTTAATGCAATATAATACATTTAAATCTTATTCTGTTTTTAAATGTAGGTATTGTCCATTTGTGATCACGTAGTCTTTCTACTATTTATATATTTATTATTTTATGTCTACTAACTCTTATTCAAATTACTGTCTTTTAAATTTATTATATCAGATAGTGTTTATTTCAATGATATTGTATATAATATGTACTTCAAGCATAAATCGTACCATCTTAGAAACAATACTGGCCAAAAATTCACTGCGATGTTGCCCCGTAGCTAATTGTAAGAACGGTTTTTTAAGAATAAGCAGTTCTTTACCCCCGTTCGGGCTTTGATTTTTCGCTTTTGTAGAAGAAGAAGAAGAAGAAAATAAAATTATGTTGCTAATTACTGTCGCATGCAAAATAAGTAGATACTTGCCAATTAAGAAATTTATATATATATTATGGTTTAAAAGCATTCCATGCAGTTATAAATAGTGTTCTATTTCCGGAACAAGAATTTTTTTAGTACTTACTAAATAGAATAAGAACAATTGAGACTGTGGTAAAAGAATAAAGCAAAAAGAGAGAACTGCCTTGTTTATCATTAAAACTGTTAGCGATAAGGGAAACGGGTAAAATGAACATCGAATTTCTGTAATTATTCTAAAATGAGTATCTGTAAATTGGTATTGTTTAATATAATAGTCATGATAAAGAAGTAGATAATTTTTAAATTTTCCATGTTTTTAAGAAAAAAAAAAGGAACATATTTCATACCACCATTTTTCTGATTTTAATTACTTATATGCATAAAAAGTGCTTCTCATAAAGTTTTTGCATTAAACTTTATTTTATTAAATTTTACGGTTATTAAATAATCATCTTATAAAAACAGTTTGGGGTAAATTGTTAGGTTGAGAAGTCAGATTTAGTCGGTTATTTTTCTTTTGTGATTTTCAAATGCTTTGTTAGCCGTTTTAGCAAAATCGTAAAAGCGTCCGACGAGTGACTTTGTCAAACAGATCATGTAAAATTACCTATGAAAGCATTTGAAAACAACCAAAAAACATTAGTTATATGGCTAAATCTGAGTTCGAATCGTATTTGGTATCGTCATAATATCCTAACTTATTAGCTTTTTAGCCAGGAATATCGTTTTCGGCGTTTTTAACATGGTGATATTGTCGAGGTAAAATGACTGTAAGAGAATAGTGGGCTGCGTGTTGAAGACGCGCAGTCGTTCTACCCGTACCTTCCCAATCGTATAGCGCATGCCGTGTTGTAGTGAAGTTGGATACATGTATTTTAAGTTTGGTAAGTAAATAAATATTGTAAATTCTTTACTTTTTAATAACGATTGTTTATAAATTAACCAATTTACTCATGCATGTATAAATAGCTATTTAAACTTCAATAAATAATACATAACAAATGTTTATTTTAGAACAGTAAACCAATACATTGGCATGTATGAAAAAAATTTTAATAAGACGTCAATCTGCATTGTTATTGTGTTCAATAGTGGAACAATTTTTATTTCAATTGAGTTCATTAGCAGTTTAGTTTAACGCAGGGTACTGTCAGCTATNCAAATGTTTATTTTAGAACAGTAAACCAATACATTGGCATGTATGAAAAAAATTTTAATAAGACGTCAATCTGCATTGTTATTGTGTTCAATAGTGGAACAATTTTTATTTCAATTGAGTTCATTAGCAGTTTAGTTTAACGCAGGGTACTGTCAGCTATACGTCAAACTATTTTGTTTTGCTCAATTTTGTAGGTTGTGTGAAATGTATGTGAAATGTGAATCTACATTACAAAATATAAATTTGTAAAATAATCTTGATATACCCTGACCTAAGTAAAGTACTGTCACGAACTTACTGACTGTTACTCCATTAATAGACGAAATACTACATATTTTTATCCATACAAGGATTATCCTTCAAACATCATGAGTACTTTGTTCTAATCATAATTTATGACAGTGATGAATTATCATTTTTTATCAAACCAACGCACCTGCATTAAAGTTACTTTGTTACATAAAAATGTAAGAAGTTTTTTCCGTTAAGCACTTTTACTATGAATGGGATAATTTTAGCTTGAAACCCTCACAAAGCTATTAGATAAATGAGTACAGTATGAAGGTAAATTCATGCTTGATATTGTTTTTATATTATAATAAATTAAGGAGTATACTAACTAAACGCTATTTTTTAGGGTCCAGTACTGAGAAGAAGACCAACAAGTAGTTATTCCAAGGGCGTTTTTGTAGATCCTTTGTTACCTAAAACTAATAGAGATCAGAGTAAAATCTTGAAACCAATTCAAACATTTCAATTTTTTGGACTTTTAGGGTTAATAGTGCTGGTGTTCATTGCAACAGTTATAATTGAAAAAATGTTACCAGTAGGGTTAAAAGTTGCAGATCAAGAAAAATATCCTGATCAATTTATAGCTGAAAGAGCTTTTAAAACAATAAAAAGTTTATCATCTTTGGGGCCTCGTATTGCAGGCAGTGAAGAGAATGAAGTTAAAGCATTGAACATTTTAAAAAAAGAAATCAATGAAATAATTTCACATAAAAAGGATCATGTTATAATTGAAACTGATGTGCAAAGAACAAGTGGAGGCTTCTACTTGGAATTTCTAGATGGAATGACAAATGTCTACAGCAATTTACAAAATTTGATTGTTAAAGTTGGATCACATATCAAATCCTCCCACAGTTTATTAATAAATTGTCACTTTGATAGTGTTACTGACAGCCCAGGTGCCCATCTTTCTTTAAATCAGATATTTTAATACAAAAGTTAAATAGTTACAGTTTTTTTGATAGCATTTGCAGTTATTTAAATTATATAGTAATACATGGTAAATGCTACCTAAAACTTATCTATTTAAAAAAATTTAACTAATATTATTGGTACAACTTACTGTTTTCTAATTTGTTGTTTAATTATTTAAAGGTGCAAGTGATGATGGTGCGGGATGTGCCTTAATGATGGAAATACTTCGAGTCATATCCCAATCAAACAAAACATTAAAACATAATATTATTTTCCTTTTTAATGGTGCCGAAGAAAACTTTATGCCTGCTAGTCATGGGTTTATAACTCAACATAAATGGGCTAAAGAGGTGTGTAGTTTCCAAAAGAAACCTTAAGCTGCCCACTTTGCTCTTTAGTATACAATACTTTATTTTATTCAAATGTTTCCATATAAGTTGTTTAATAGAAAGTAAAAGTTTCTTCCTGTTTTAGATCAGGGCTGTGATTAATATTGAAGCATGTGGAGCTGGTGGAAGAGAAGTGCTATTTCAGGCAGGCCCTAACCACCCTTGGATATTAGAAACGTATGCTGAAGAAGTTCCTTATCCGTATGCTTCTTCATTGGCACAAGAAATATTTCAAACTGGTGTTATACCTGGTGATTCAGATTTTAGAATATTTAGGGACTTTGGAAATATATCAGGTACATTTTTATTATATTGTTTTCTAGTAGAAGACTACCAAGATTAGTCTGTAAAGGGAAGATAAGTCAGAAATTGTATGAATTACAATAACAGAGCATGTTCAGGGTGTGTGTTAGCAAGTCCAATAATAATTATGATTATGATGATGAATAGCAGGAATGACTATCTCCTGGTCTTGGTATAATAAAAATAATTACGTTTTTTATATTAATTGATGTAGCCTCATTTACTTTATTACAAAATATCAAAATCTTATTTAGTTAACAAAATTACAGTTAAGTAGATGTACATCACTTTTTCAGGATTGGATTTTGCTTGGACAGTAAATGGTTACGTTTATCACACCAAGTTTGACAATATCGATCAAATACCGCTAGGATCTATACAACGAACAGGTGATAATATTTTGGCATTAGCCAGGGGGATGGCCCAAGGTCATCAAATAGCAGATATCGAACAGAACAAGGCTGGAAATTTAATATTTTTTGATTTTTTGGGCGCCTTCGTTGTGCGGTGGCCTGAGTATATTGCCAGTTTTGTCAATATTCTTACTGTGATATTTTCTATTTATACCATGTATCAAAACGCCAGTTTTTATTCGAACAAAAAAGGTAAGTTCCCAATTGTAAAAGCAAATTTTTAATTATTCCTTCATGCACATTCAACAGAAAACATTATCGTTTAAGATACCCTCCAGAAGCTCCACTGTTCGGCTATGTTGAGAACTAAATATACATTTTGTGAAAAGCATTAAAATATAAAAGATAGGGAAATTTGTTTAAAATCCTTTCATATCGTGAAAAATTTTGGTATTTAATTGTCGTTATATTATAATCTTTAATCTTAAATGCTCATAGTTTTTTAAATATTGATTTTTGTAGCCAAATAAGAGTTTTTGCTACTACAGTAGATACTCTATAGTTTAATCCCCCATAATATCAACTCGTTAGCAAGCTATTGAGTATGGTAGGTCATTGTATACCAATAATAAACTAAACCTTCGCTTATGGAAACGAATATCCATTTGTTTCAAAAATCAATATTTTACCGTCCTTACGCTATTCTATCTAAAGCACTATAATCCAAGCCAATTCATTAATAAATAGTTGGGCTCTTTCAAAGTTTTTAGAGATTTCAATTTAATTGCTTTTAAGAAAGTAATTAGTAACTCAAAATCCTTGGATTTTAAAGAGTAATTACACATTATCGTTTGTTAATACTGTTTTTTGAAATTGCATTTATGTATATAAACAGTCCTACATGTAAAAGGTGAATTGTGATTGACCAACATCATAAAATCTGTAAATGGAATGGTTAAGTTTAAAATGCTGTTTTTATTTTAGATTTAGATAAAAAAGCATATATTAGGAAATTGCTTAGGTGCTCATTTTTTATAATTCTAAGTTGGATAGGAATTGTGATAATAGGCCTTACAATTGCTTTAATTCTTAATTTATTGGGGCGCACAATGAGTTGGTACGCTCGGCCAGTTTGGTTATACTTTTTATATGTTATTCCTACCGCGCTTGGAGGATTGGTATTTGTTTATCTTCACGCCAAAACATATAATAAGGTACAGTCATACAATTTTAATGAATTTTAAAAAAATTATGAATATTTTGGCATTTGCTAGCTTTAATGATTTTAATGCTTCATTTTAAATAATTTAATTTAACCTTGTAATACCTATTTTATACTTTTAGTGGAAAAGTATAATTCCTATTAATTTAATGTTTTTGTAGGATGTTACTTCACTCTGGGCATTATATCAATTGTATTATGACGGTTTCCATTTTATTTGGACAATCGTTTTAACCGTGAGCGTTATTCTCAAAATAAGATCAGGATTTGTTGCCCTTTTATGGTCTCTCTTCCCAGCAGTGGGATCATTCATGAAAGTTACGTTTTTCAGAAATTTAAAAGGTAAATGGCAATAATTACACTGCAAGTGTATTACCCTTTATCATTTTCTTATTTGCAGATGATAAATATTTGTTGTACCACATTGGTATTATGGGCTTGCCTTTTACACAATCAGTCTATTTGCTGTTAGGGGCTATGTATCTTTTTGTGCCTATAATGGGCCGAGCTGGTGCTGCAAATAATTCTGAAATGATAATCGCATTTTTGGTGTGCTTTTTGTTTGGCCTTTTATTCAGCTATTTATCTCCATTGATTTTGCTGGTTCGCAATCCGCAAAGAATTTTTAGCGTTCTTTCTGGTTTAGTCCTGCTAGCATTTGCTGTTCTAATTTTAACTCCATTAGGATTCCCTTACTCTGGAGAACCAGGTTCTTTAGCTCCCCAGAGGTTTATGATAGCTGTAAGTTCACGTTCAAAAATACAATTTAAGGCAAAAAAATTGTGTAATAATTGAACTACAAATTTGCAACTTCTCAATTTATCATCCCTAAAAATTTGTACCGAATATCAAGCAGGTATTGCTCCTTTAATAGTTATGTTAAGGTTGCACAATTAATGTGATGATTTATTTTTTGTAAAGTAAATAAAAACTCTTTTTGTGCCTTATAATTAGTTTAGAAGATTTTTATTAGGAATTTATACTATTTATAACTTATACTATACTTTAGCATGCTAAAAGAACTTATCATGATGAATCGGGAAAAATAACTAATCAGAAAACGGGTTTCTGGATCGTCAACATGGACATAAATAGTCCACATAGTGTTGATAGGTACGTTCCGGAAATGAAGGATGCTACTTCCCTCGATCAAGATTGTATTGATTACTTATACTGTGGTGTACCATATTTGGTACCAGTTCAAACATTCCTTTGGAAAACCCATTGGATTCCTAGTATCGAACCTTATCTCACTGAGGAGGCTAAATTAAATATTGTTAAGCATGAATCAATTGACGAAGGAAAAAGAATAACTGTGAATATAACTGGTAAGAACCTAAAATTGCTAGAACCTTTATTACTAGGAACATAAAACTTGCAAATTTCTCTATAGGACCTCACCACATAGGGGTTATGATTTCTCCAAAACTGGGGGTCGAATTAACCAAATGGAGCTTGGTAAAAGGGCCTCCATTGGCAGGTCCATTATGGAATGGTCGCGCAACTTATTTTATATATTATTCATACGGCGTGGCATACGCTCCCTTAGAATTTTCGATGGACTTCAAAGTAAGAACATTAAGCATCCATAATTATATAAAAAAGTACTTGTAAGCTAAGTAGAATCCTTTTCATTTTACAATATGCGGCTCCACTTTTTTCGTCTTATTTTAAAGCATTCTGGTTATTTTTCTTTCTTTTAGCCAAATCTCCCATTTTTAAAAATTATCGCAAAATATACAAACTTGAAGTTGCAGTAATTCTTCTTTTAGGTTCCTGAAAATCATGAAGGGCCTGTTATGGATATAGCTGTTACCGCTCATTACCAGTTTGGTCCAGCAAAAGCTGGAAAGACATTTGAAAAATTTGTAAAACAGTTTCCAGTTTGGACTACAATTAACTACTGGACTGCAACATACGAATCTTGGGTTATTTAAATATGCCATGATGTATCGAGTAAACAATTACAGTGTAGATCGCTAATCTAACAGATAATATTATTTCAGCAGAGTGCATTATTTATTAGTAAGTAGGTTAGAATAATTCGGCCTCAAAAGATTTTACAAAAAATATATAAATTTTAAGAAATTGCGTATAGGACTTTTTGTTAATGAAAGCTGAAAAAAATATTTTGCATTGATCCCAGTTAAATGTTACTTAATAAATATGTTACTGTTATTTTATATTACTTTAATTTTCTTCGAGCTTTTGTCATTTTCTATGTTTACGGAAAGGACTCTATTTCTTTTTATTTAAAGTTTCTGGGAAATATCTACAAATTACTGGGTAAATACAGTTTTTAATAAAAACAGGCAAAATGTTCTGTTTCGTAACTTCCTTTGTTTCAATATCAAGGCGGATTATTTTTCGGTCATTACTGATATTTAGTTATTTTAGGTAGGCCCTTACGTGTAGTCAAAAACTACTTTGCTTAACAGTACTGTCTGACAATATCGTTATGTAAACAAGAAGATAAAGAAAAATATCTTATTTAGTAATAGCACACCTTTGGATCAATCTAAATACCAGTTGGGAAGTTCGTATACCGTCAATATTACCATGTGACCAGAAGCAATTTTATAAACTTTGCACCACTCATTAACAATTGTCTTTTTTAAGCTCGTTTGTTTATTCGTATGCTATTAAGTTAGAAATTGCCCTAAACATTTTTACCTGCCTTAGGTAATGTTCAAAACGGCTGAATCCATTTCTATAATATTTAACAGCCAGAAAATTATCAGGGGTGATCTAGGCTACTTTTATTTTTTAATTATTTGTTTATTAGTTATTTTTTATTGGTTAAGCTAAGTTTGGTGCGGACGATATCGCGGGTAAAAGCTATTCAAAAATGAAAATTTGAGCTAAATTTAATTTTTAGTAATGTTGATAAAAAAATTGGCGCATAAAACAAAGCAGTGCAACGATCTTTTTCACAATGGTCGCTGACGCCCAACAACGCCTCGAACTCAAGGATGTAAACGCTTTTTCTGTTCCCATCAAATATTAGAGTAGTCTGTTTATTGACTTCTTATTCTCTATCAAGTAGTGCAGAGATTGTGTGATGGTTTCTAGTCACTTAAAAATTTCCTTAATAAAAATCCTGTATGAATTGCTAGAAAAATTAATACATTTTTCCTGTCTTATTATGAAATATATTAATTATTTAGAGAATATGTTGATTGTTTGCGAAAATTGTTAATCAAAGATGCTAGTTACATTA